CAGAAGTTCAAATGTCAAAAGGATAATACATGAACAGCAACGTATGCCACAGGGTCCTGCAGAGGGTGAGATCCATTTGGCTTGAAGTGTTAGTGATCAGGCTTCAAAGAGAAAGTAGGAGTTTCATCTGTGCACTAAGGCTGAATTGGATTTGAATACAGAGAGAGGAGAAGGGAAGACATCATGTGCCTTGAACTAGTGCAAAAGTACAGAGGCAAAGATGGTCACCATTAAGTGTCCCACAATTTAGTACTGAAAATTGCAGAGATTACTGAATGAATTTATGAAAGGAAATAATTCTGAGTCTGTCAATACAGTCATGCATTGCTTAACGATGGAGATACATTCTGAGGAACAAATCCATAGGTGATTTTGTCATTGTGTGAACATCACAGAGTATTTAGACAGACCGAGATGGTATAGCCTACTACACACCTAGGCTGTATAGTATAGCTGTGAAAGGAAAATAAAATCTTGGAACACTAAACTCACTATGCCAAAGGGAAAAGTTAAGCTTGGGAAATGAGTCATGAAAAAACTGCCTTCCTTTTGCTCCAAAACAGATAGCTGCAGCACAGGGGCCTCATATCTCCCCATGTGACCTCCCTCACAGATTGCACACAAGGAAATTCTTTGTGGGCCCAAGTCTTTACCCTAAAACAGAGTTCTGTGGAATCACATCCTGATAATGTAGATTAACAGTTTATCTTCACAGGTACTGGACAAAGACAAGATTAGAAATCATCCCTCTGCTCACCCTGAGACAAATGCATGTTTGACTTCTGATATGGTCTGGCTGTGTCCCCACCCAAACTTCATCTTGAATTCCTACCTGTTCTGGGAAGGACCCTGTAGGAGGTAATTGAATCATGGGGGCAGGTCTTTCCCATGCTGTTCTCGTGATGGCAAATAAGTCTCATGAGATCTGACAGTTTTAGAAGAGGGAGTTTCCCTGCAAAATCTCCTTTATATGCCTGCTGCCATCCATGTAAGACATGACTTGCTCCTCTTTGTCTTTTGCCATGATTGTGAGACTTCCCCATCCATTGTGGAACTGTAAGTTCATTAAACTCTTTTTCCTGTATAAATTACCCAGTCTCAGGTATGTCTTTATCAGCCGCATGGAAACGAACTAATACAACTTTTCTCTACTCCATGTTTATACTATGTAAAATGCAGATTTACTTTGTGAGAGGAATGTAAAATTGACTGTTCCTCTTTCCTCACCTGCCTGCTCTTTCGCCTTTAAAAACTGAAGTCCTCAAGACTCTTCGGAAAATAACACAGTCCACAGATTCTAGTGTAATTTGTGTCTCTTGTTCGTGGTGTGTCCTCAATCTGAGCAAAATAAACCTCTAAATTGATGAGATTTGTCTCAGACACTTTTTGGTTTACATAGCCTATTGCTCCTAGGCTACAAAGCTGTACAGCATGTTACTGTACTGAATACTATAGGCAATTGTAACACAGCTGTGTTTGCATCTCTAAACATATCTAGACATAGAAAAGGTAACACATCGTGCTACAACCTTACAATGACTATGATGTCACTAGAAAATTTTCAGCTGCATCATAATCTTATGGAACCATCATCATGTATGGAGTCTGTTGTTTCATTTGCAAAGGAGTTGTGTTCTTTTGGTGGGGAGGTAATTTTGAAACAAATATCTTCCTTTGTTTTGGGGGGTTTTTGGTATTGTTTTGTTTTGTTTTGTCTTGTTTTGAGTCAGGGTCTCACTCTGTCATCCAGGCTGGTATGCTGTGGTGCTATCATAGCTCACTGAAGCCTCGACTTCCTGACCCCAAGAGATTCTCCCGCCCTGTCCTTCCAAAGTGTTGGGATTACAGGCATGAGCCACTGTGCCAGCTGAAATCCCTTTCTTTGAAGCACATTAGAGAATGAAAAAGAAAAGAGAGAAAAAAATAAGAGAAAGAATAAAAAGAAATTGCTGTGTCCTGAGTCATGTCCCTCCTGGTAAATAAAATTTATGGGAGGCCATTATTTTGGACTGAGGTCCCATAGTAGGAAACAATAGACCAAACCACATAATCAAGCTAAAACTTTAAGGAAGCAGTTAAATCCCCAAACACACCAGTTTTTCTCGAAAACAAGAGGTTCACTCACAGCCATCACTTGGAAAAGACCCAGTCAACTTGAGTCACCCTAATAAGGAAGTCCCTTCTGCTTTAAACCTTATAAGAAAAGTAACCTGAAGTAACCTGATGTTAACCATTCTGCTTTTTTCTATATTTGTTTCCTTGTTCTCATATAAAAACTGCTGCAGTAAGCGCTGATCATGCCACCGTACTCAAGCCAGGACAAGAGTGAGACCTTGTCTCAAAAAAAGCAAAAAACAAAAAAGTAACTGTTTTGCTAAACCCAGTAGAGCACTCACTATTTTATAGAATAAAATGCTGTCTGATTCTAGAATCCCAAATAAAGGCCAGTTTGATCTTTAAATTTGTTGTAATTTTGTCTTTTAACACTGTTAAAATTCATATATTGAAGCCTAAAACCCACCCATTCTCTCTCTCCTCACCACCCTGTGTATGCACAAAGAAGAGGTCATTTGAGCATCCACCTGCAAGCAAAGAGAAGAGGCTTCAGAATAAAACCTTCCTTGCTGGCACCCTGATCTTTCCAGTCTCCAGAACTGTGAGAAGTATATTTCCATTGCTTAAGCTACACAGTCTATGGTACTTTGTTATGGCAGCCCAAGCTGACTAAGACAAATACTATTTTGAGAAAGTGACTTATCACTGGGTGCGGTAGCTCACACCAGTAATCCCAGCACTTTGGGAGGTGGAGGCAGGCAGATGCTTGAGATCCCAGCCTGGCCAATATGGTGAAACCCCACCTCTACTAAAAATACAAAAAATTAGCTGGGTGTGGTGGTGTGTGCCTGTAGTCCTAGCTACTTGGGAGGCTGAGGCAGGATAGTTACTTGAGCCCAGGAGACAGAGGTTGCAGTGAGCTGAGATCGTGTCACTGCACTCCAGCCTGGACAACAGAGCAAGATCCCATCTCAAAAAAAAAGAAAAAAAAAAAGAAAAAGAAAAGAAAAAGAAAAGAAAAAAGAAAATGACTTAGTGACTTACCTTTTATGAGCTGCTTGGGGAAGTTGATGGGAGATTGGTCACTAACTTCTATCAACAGCTAAGCTCATCAGCCTTGTATCTGGACAGAACAAAATTTCGTCTCAGCTAAATAATGCATTTCTGTATGGCAAAGGGATTGATCTATAATTTAAAGGGCAATAGTACCATGGTACATCCTCTCTGCCCCATGACTGCTATGCTACTTTGTCAAGGAGCTCTCTCTGAGGATGGGAGAAAAGGGTTCTTGCCTGGTTGTTTTGCATCACCTACCTCTCTTCTGGCCAACTGATGATTGTAGGGCATTCATTTTATTTAGATTTCCTTTATTTCTTTCATCTCTCCTCTCATAATCAAAGAACATTAAGTGCTTGCTCAGGTGTTTTAGACTCTTGTCCAAGGATCTTGCCCAAGGTCACTGTATTAGTCTGGTTTCACACTGCTACAAAGAAATACTTGAGACTGAGTAATTTATAAGGAAAAAAGGTTTAATTGACTCGCAGTTTCACATGGCTGGGGGGGCCTCAGGAACTTACAATCATGGCAGAAAGTGAAGGGGAAGCAAGCACCTTCTTCAGAAAGTGGAACAAAAGAGAAGAATGAAGGAGGAACTACCAAACACTTATAAAACCACCAGATCTCATGAGAACTCACTCACTATCACGAGAACAGCATGGGGGCAACTGACTCCACCGTCCAATCACCTCCCTCCCTCAATACAAGGGGATTACAGGTCCCTTCCTTGACACGTGGGGATTACAAATCAAGATGAGATTTGGGTGGGGACACAGAGCCAAACCATAGCAGTCACTGAACCACCACATTTGTGATATACATTCCTAAAACTTTTCTTAGTTCTATGATCTGGACAAAGTACCTGTACTACCTCTTTGTGACCTGATCAATAGTTTAGTCAAGTTCAATAATACTGATACACAATACAAGCTTCGTTTACTGAGAAATTTTTTGCCTGGAAATGTGCTAAACCTTTTAAAGGCATCATCTCATTTAATCCTGCTTTGTAAACAGGTGAAATGGTGATAATCTACATTATAGGCTTAGAGAAGCTAAGTATCAAGCCCAAGTTCACACTGTTGTAAGATGAACTTGGGTTTCAAACTGAAGTCTGACTGGTAAATGCCAAGGCAATATCAATATGGATATGCTAAGTATAATGAATCAGAATCAGGCACAGTTTTTAAAACATCAAATAATGTATGTAATTACTTAAAATTTTAAATTGTTATGCAATAATTTGACTTTTTTTTTTTTTTTTTAAGGCTAGCACATTAAGTATACCTCCCATTACAACTAGTTCAAGTATATGAGATTCCATTTCTGGTCCATATTACTCATTTTGCTTTCCTGGGTTCTGATCATCTCTTGTATGTTCATGCTTCCTATTTGTATTTGTTTGGCAGCTTTTCTCTCCTTTACAAAATTGGGTAGTCATGCTTCTCCAGTAACCTTGGTGAGTCAGTTCAACCTCTAATTACTTCAGTCTCCTTCCCTGCAAGAAAAGCAGTCAAACTACACGAACTCTCTATTGTTTTGCATCATTTCACAAGCACACAGGGATAAGGAGGGAAATAATTCTCCCAATGAAGCAGAACCACCGGTAACAGCTGGCAAAACTTCTAAAGACTCAGTCTGTCTTGAAAAACAGCCTCAAATTGTCCCTAAATAATAATTACCCCACCTGTAGCAGGACTATCTCACTGACTAGCTGCACTTGATGACACAATACCTGCTATTAACTCTCAGCATGGATATAAACATTGCCATAATACTTTTTAAAACCAACAACGTATCATTTGCACATCAGAACAACAGAATGTTAGTTAAGGCATAGAAAACACAAAAGGAATGGCTACCCTGTTCTTTGGTGACTCCATATCTAATTATTACCAAATATGTCTCCAGTCTTTAGACTAATTTAATTATTATAAAGGTGGTTGGACAAATAGCAAAGATTTGCTTTTCATTAACAAAGGGCACATCAAAACCGAGTTTATCCTTCCCAGTTACCCAACATTCAAAGCTTCTACTGCAGCCACTTTCTAGTCATTTTAGACCCCAGAGCAGTGTGACGATTTGATGCATAAGTTTCAACACGTTTTATTAATCTATTCTTCTTGTGCTTTATTTAAAATATTGGAAACTATAAAAAGATCAGCGTGTTAATCCTCTGCCAGGAAACAGGGGGAAAAAAAGTTAAAAACCTAACAACAACACGAAAAAAGCAAGAGCGCTGGAATCTCAGCTTTGAGGAAACACATGGGATGAAAGCATCCGCCCAAGCTCTAACCATTTGTCACATGGGACACTTCCCCTCAGGGTGAATCCTGGATGTCCCCAGGATGGAGCGAGGAGGTCGTGCGTGCGGGCGAGTGTGTGACTGCAGGGGGCCTTGGCGGCGCGAGGAGGCGACGCCGCCCCTTCCCTCAGGCGCAGGGAGGGTCTTCCAGGAAGCCGCGGACCTCGGCTGACTCCGCGGCTGCGGGTCCCAGGCTGCGGCCGCCGAGGCCGGCACGTAGCGCCGAGCGTGACTCAGCGCTGACTCATCGGACTCGCTGCCAGTGGATTTCCCCCGTCAGCCGCTCGCGCTCCTCCTGTCGCCGGGAGCTCGCAGGACTTCGCAGATACCGCTGCCTCCTTAGTCTTTCCTGCACAGCAGAGCTGTCCTGTCGCTTTAAACAGAGCTAGCCAGCTTTCACTGCTTTTGAATCCCTACCGAGCAGGGCACTGCCGTGCTCTGTTTTCTTTGCCTGTAAGAGTGCAATAGTCCACTAATCAAATTCTTTCATCAAAAGCATGTTGGGACAAATCCCTGACATCGTCCTTCCACTGACTTCGAGGTGACCTCCACCCAGGTTTCACTTCCGTTGTGACCAGCTCTCGTCTTATTTTTGTCCCTCATTTTGTGAATTTATCCTCTCACCACGCTTGATAACTAACGTTGGCGCAAACCCACAATTGTGGTGACGCAAATCAGGTTGAAACTTGGCATCGTCGTGTGCAGGCAGTGAGGGACTTACTGTAAAACCTGGGACCTTCATAAAGGCGTTCTTATCTGCCATCCCACTTGCTGATTAGATACCATGCTCATTTTCTGTCAGCCACTCCCCTTTGAAAGTTCCTGAGAAAGATTTAGATGAAACCTGTATTCAGGAGCGGTCGTGCTCATTTATTCTTCCCCAGAGTTCAATCTGCAACGCAGCAGTAGGGCAGCATTTCTCCAACTTTACCATGGACCACCTGCATCAAAAGCGCCGCGGTAAAAATGCAGATTCTTGAAGCTCACTTCAAATTACAGACTCGGAATGTTCTGGCGGGGTGGAGGCATGGAGGCACCTTCTGAGGGCGGGGCCTAGAAATAATCCTTCGTGTTAACCAACTACCTATCAGTGATTCTTAGGTATATTTAGGTTTGAATATACTAGCAAGAGGGGGAGGGTGTGAGACATTATACTGGGTAGACTCTAGGACTCCTTACAATATAGAACACTGTGTTCTAAAATTGATGTTTAAGTTTTGATGGAAGGAAAAAATATTTCCAAATTTGGTTTTATATATTATATTGTTTGCTTTAACTGTATATTAATATAGACAAATTTTCTTTCTTTCTTTCTTTTTTTTCTTTAAAGACACAGAGGGTCTTTCTGTGTTGCCCAGGCTGGCCTCGAAATCCTGGGCTCAAGGAACCCTTTCCAGCTCAGCCTATCCAGTAGTTAGGACTACAAGCATGCACCACCACTCGGCTCTTTCTTTTTCTCTTTCTTCCTTTTTTTTTTTTTTTAATTTACTTATTTTGAGACATGGTCTGTCTCGCCCAGGCTAAAGTGAAGTGGTGGGATCTCGGCTCACTTCAGCCTCACCCTCCCCAGGATCAGGTGATAGTCCCACCTCAGCCTCCTCAGTGGCTGTGGTTACAGGTGTGTGCCACCATGCCTGAATAATTTTTGTATTTTTTTAAGAGACAGGGTTTCACTATGTTGCCCAGGCTGGTCTCGAACTCCTGGGCTCAAAAGATCCACTTGCCTCTGCCTCCCAAGGTGCTGGGATTACAAGGGTGCACCACTACACCTGACCGGCTCTTTTTTTTTTTTAATTAGGACTTTGTTCATAAAATAAAATCAAGTTTCTACAAATTTTCTTTATTTCAGAGTAATATTTCTTCAATCTGACTTTGTGTCAGAATTACCCGAAGAGTTATACAAAAACTCTAATTCCTTGACCAGCCCTCAGGCTTGAAGACACTATCTCTGAAGGTAAAGCCCCCCAAATAGGCTTTTGTTGTTGTTGTTGTTGTTGACATGGTCTTACCCTGCTGCTCAGGCTAAAGTAAAGTGGCGTGATCACTGCTTGCTGCAGCCCCAACCTACCAGGGGTCAGGTGATCCTCCCACCTCAGCCTCCCAAGTAGCCAGGGCTACAGGCGCGTGCCACGCCTGGCTAATTTTCATATTTCTTATAGAAATGGGGTTTTTCCAGGTTCCCCAGGCTGGTCTCAAATTTCTGAGCTCAAGTGAGCCGCCCACCTAGGCCTCTGGAATTAGGCATGTACTGGAATTACAGGCATGAGCCACGACACTCAGCCAAAATAGGCATTTTGAAATGCTTTCAAAGTTAGTCTTTGAACTTTTTCAAAGTCACCACTATTCCCAAGTAGTAACCTCAGTAACTCCAGGGTAGTTGGCCTATATTGTTCCATTGTAGTGCTCATTCGTCTCTCCGTCTGCAGTGTTTCATTTTGAAATCACCATTTTAAAAATAAAATTATGCTAAAAAGGAATCTGATGAGATAAAAGGAAAAAGAGAAAAATTAAAAGTGACCACATAAAATATCAGCTCACTATTATATTCATAAATTCACTTATTTAGAAAACAAAGGTGAAATATTTGTATTCTAAATCTTTTGTGTAGGTGGGGAGAGCGGGTTGATTGGGCAATAATCTTCAAGTCTATTTTGAAATTTTTAGATCAGGTGTGGTGGCTCATGTCTGCAATCCCAACACTTTGCAAGGCCAAGGCGGGAGGCAGGATTGCTTGAGCCCAGGTGTTCAAGACCAGCCTGGGCAACATAGCAAGACACTGTCTCTAAAAAAAAGAAAAAAAAGTAATTGTTTTCCCCTTGGATATTTTGTTTACTTCTTTTCTTTTCCTTCCCTCCCTCTCCTCCTCCCCTCGTCCTCCTCCTCTTCCTCCTCCTCCTCCTCCTTCTTCTTTCTTCTTTAGGGGAGAGGCACAAGACACAATTTCCATGAATACTTATTTTCTTTTCATTTCACTGGGTTTTTCCATTCAATCTCTGTTAGCACTGTGGCAAAAAGCCAAAAAGCCTAGCTCTGAAACATGCCTTACAAAGACATCTCCTTGCTGACCTTTTTTTTTTCACTCTGTTGCCCAGGCTGGAGTGCAGTGGTGTGATTTCAGCTCACTGTAACCTCCACCTCCCAGGTTTAAGTGATTCTCTTGTCTCAGCCTCCAGAGTAACTGGGATTACAGGCGCACACCACCACGCCCAGCTAATTTTTATATATTTACTTATTTATTTTTGAGACGGAGTCTCGCTTTGTTGCCCAGGCTGGAGTGCAGTGGTGTGATCTCGGCTCACCACAACCTCTGCCTCCTGGATTCAAGAGATTCTCTTCCCTCAACCTCCTGAGTAGCTGGGACTACAGGCACACACCACCAAGCCCTGCTAATTTTTGTCTTTTTAGTAGAGACAGGGTTTCACTATGTTGGCCAGGCTGGTATTGAACTCCTGACCTCGTGATCTGCCCACCTCAGCTTCCCAAAGTGCTGGGATTATAGGCATGAGCCACCGTGCCCGGCCAACGCCCAGCTAATTTTTAAAATTTAATCTAGTTTTATTTATTTATTTATTTATTTATTTATTTATTTATTTATTTATTTTGACAGAGTCTCACTCTGTCACCCAGGCTGGAGTGCAGTGGTACGATCTTGACTCACTGAGATCGTACCTCAGCTCACTGCAACCTCTGCCTTCCTTCCCGGATTCAAGTGATTCTCCTGCCTCAGCCTCCCAAGTAGCTGGATGCCCAGCTAATTTTTGTATTTTTAGTAGAGTAAGGGTTTCATCATGTTCACCAGGCTTGTCTCAAACTCCTGACCTCAAGTGATCCAGCCGCCTTGGCCTCCCAAAGTGCTGGGATTATAGGCGTGAGCTCCCACACTGGGCCTGGCTTTTTTATAGCCTTGATTCTCCAAGCCTGGTCCTTGGTCCAGCCGCAGGGGCATCACTGGGGAACAGACTCTCAGACCCCATCCATAACTACTGAATCAGAATCTGCATGTTAGCAAGATCCCCAGGTGATATGTGTGAAAATTCAGGAACCACTGTCTTACAGTAATTGTAAGAGTTACAATCTAACGGTGGTGGAGGAGGAAAGAAGAAGAAATGAGTCTGGTTGTGGTGGGGACATGTATTAGTTTCCTAGGGCTGCTATAACAAAATACCCCACAAACTGGGTGATTAAAACAATATAAATTTATTCTCTCACAGTTCTGGAAACCAGAAGTCCAAAGTGAAGGAGTCGGCAGAGCCGTGTTCCTTCTGAAACTCTGGGTAGAATCCCTCCTTGTATCTTCCTAGCTTCCAGAGGTGACCATGGATACTTGCAGTTCCTGGGTTTGTAGCTGTATTACTTCAGCCTTTGCTCCTGTGGTCACATGGCATTTTCCCTGAGTGTCTGTCTTTTATGTTGTCTTCTTATAAGGACAACAGTTATGTTGGATTAGGGCCCAGTGAATACGTTGTAAATTGATTATATCTGCAAAGGTTCTATTTTCAAATAAGGTCACATGAACAGGTACTGGGGTATAGGATTTCAATAAATTGCTTTGGGGGACATGATTTATCCCATAATAGGGAGATGTGGAGATTTTGTTATCAATAAGTGGAAATGCATTATGTGAAAAAAAACTTAAAAAATAAGCATTATTTTAAAATAACCTGATCGTATTTTATTTTTAAATTTTATTCATTTATTTATTTTTGAGATAGAGTCTCACTCTGTTGCCCAGGCTGGAGTGCAGTGGCACGATCTTGACTCACTGCAACCTCTGCCTCCTGAGTTCAAGTGATTCTCCTGCTTCAGCCTCCCAGGTAGCTGGGATTACAGGTGCATGCCACTGTGCCTGGCTAATTTTTTTTTTCTTTTTTTGTATTTTTAGTAAAGACGGGGTTTCACCATGTTTGCCAGGCTGATCTCGAACTCCTGACCTCAAGTGATCCATCTGCTTCAATCTCCCAAAGTGCCAGGATTACAGGTGTGATCCACTGTGCCTGGCCTCAAGGGCGATTTAGCATCTCTTATAACATGATGCTGAGTTGAAAGTAAGAACTCAGTAGTTATTAATAATAATAGTGAAAGCTATGGCATACCTCTGGACAAACATACAAAATCGCACATGTTTAGGCAAGACAAACTTCTACCACAAAGGATTAGTTTGACCATAGAAAGTAAGCTCTAAAATAAAAGGGAAAAAGCCGGGCATGGTGGCTCATGCCTGTAATCCCAGCTACTCGGGAGGCTGAGGCAGGGGGAATTGCTTGAACCCAGGAGGCGGAGTTTGCAGTGAGCTGAGATTGAGCCACTGCATTCCAGCCTGAGTGACAGCAAGACTCTTTCTCAAAAAAAGGAAGAAAAAGTGAAAAAAATAATTATAGCTAAAATTATAATCACATTAACAGATAAACTGAAAATATCGTAGGACCAGAGCGAGAAAGAGAAGGGAATCCTTATAATCCCGGGAAAGGATAAGAGTAGGACCAGAGGGGCAGCTTCAAGGTAATAATGTATTTTTAAAAGCCCTTGACAGTTTGTAGTAGGAATCTCTTTTTGTCTGCCCTGCATTAATTCTCCCTCTTTCCTTTGAGAAGCCTCAAGTCATCCTGGCCAACATTTCTATGTAGGACTCTCAGCCACAGTGCTTGCCTTCTCCTTGTCTCTTCCCCCAAGGTTGAAACACAGGGCTATTTATGTCCTAGGCATCTAAATATAGAGTATAGTCTCAAAAATGAAGAAGGTGTTTGAAGCTGAGTCATTTTAGTGGTAGTGATCAGAGACACAAACCAGATATTTTGTTTGTTTTACCACTGAGAATCTGAGAGCAACCCTAATTGCTATCCTCCACAAGTCCCCGTTGTTTTTTTGTTTTGGTTCTTTTTTTTTAGACAGAGTCTTACTCTGTCACCCAGGGTAGAGTGACAACCTCTGCCTCTAGGGTTCGAGTGATTCTCCTGCCTCAGCCTCCCAAGTAGCTGAGACTACAGGTGCCCGCCACCATGCCCGGTTAAGTTTTGTATTTTTAGAAGAGATGGTGTTTCACCATGTTTGCCAGGCTGGTCTCGAACTCCTGAGCTCCGGTGATCCGCCCACCTAGTCCCCATTGTTTAGCTATTTTCTTTTGTTTGAAATGCTACCTAGTATCTTTCCAAATGTTATTTTATTAAAAAAATTAAGTGTCAATGTTTAATTTGTATATTGTTATTTTTAGTTAATTATAATTTATTTTAAATTATTTTTAATGGGCCCAGAGCTAGCCTCAGTTGATTTCTGTTGCTTACAAAGAAACCTAAGCAACAAAGATACTGATGGAGAGAATACATACTGCTCCCCCACTAAGACACCTGAAATAGTAGTCTGCATTCATGATAAATAAAATACGCACTCTTGAAATATAATGAAGCTCTTTTCAGTTTGTTTCAATGGATTTTACCATTATTGTCCTATATATTTTTTACATGTATTTACTTATTTATTTATTTTAGAGATGGAGGGTCTCACTATGTTGCCCAGGCTGGAGTGCAGTGGCTATTCACAGGTGCAATTTTGGCACATTACAGCCTTGAACTTCTGCACACAAGCTAGCCTCCTGCCTCAGCCTCTTTAGTAGCTGGAACTACAGACATGCACCACTGCATCCAGCTAGCCCTATATTTCAAGTTGAGTCATTTTCCCTTTCTAACTACCCAAATTGCCAGTGGGTGAAAATGAGAGACTCTCTATTATCATGCTACATGAAGACACCAATAATCTTTTAAACCTTTTTTTTTTTTTTTTTTTTTTTTGAGACAGGGTCTTGCTCTGTTGCCAAGGCTGAAGTGCAATGGCACAAACATGGCTAACCACAGGCTTGACCTCCTGGGTTCAAGCAATCCTCCTGTCTTAGCCTCCCAAATAGCTGGAACCACAGGGGCACACCGCCAAGCCCAGCTAATTTTATTTACTTTTTTTTTTTTT